ACCACATTCATTTTTTATCCTAGTAATAACTTCAGCCTTGTAATGTCGATAATTAATAGCGCGAGTTAATATATAAGACATGATCATAGTAAGGCGTAATGAATCATTCATCTAATAGCTATCTCAATAAGTAATTGGGTTCTGTAATCTATTCCAAGTAGATGGAACTCAAAAACTCACTTCACTTTTACAAATTCTCTATGATCTTTGTCATTCATTGATTTGAACGTTTTATCAATAAGTCTACGTACTAAGCCTGCTAAATAATGGTAAGGATCTTGAGGGTTTGTATATGATGATTACGAATAAGTTGATCGATAATATTTTTTTTGAAACATAATCCATACTGTTTAATCATATTTTCTTTGGCAGACTTTGTAGGTGCTTGTTTGATTTTTGAAACTGTAAATCTGTAATATGACAATATCTACCATTTATTCAAATATCGAAATGAAGATTATTAAGTTCTCTTTATGTTACTTTACATGAACGGCATTCTCAATCTGCATTATGTCGTTAAACTCCTGTTATATCATTGCCTTATGGCAAATCGGCAGTGCACATACCAAGACTTCTAGAAACAAATAATCTTTTACTATTACAATTAGTCATAATTATTCCATCCTATAACTTCCGCATTTGATAAATAAAGGTTTAATAAAGTTCTCAATTTTCATACCAAATGGAACAAGACCAACCAAGAAATAATTTTTGAGTCGCTGTCACATTAAAAGTGACATGTTTCCAATTTGTACATATAATCCGCCTAGCTTATGATATGCTTTACTAAATACACCAAAATCATCATAATATAAATCTATGAAGAACTTCAAATGGCGAAGATTAGGTAGATTCTGAAAATTGTATTGATATGGTAATTAATGTCATTGATGTATACGTCTTATTTTTGGTTGATTGTTTTGAATATACAGAATTTTTCCAATTTGATAATTATAATTCTCAGGTTCCATTGAATTCTCGAGCCAGACATCAACATGACTAATCACATCATTAATTTGAATTATTTCTCATTTTTCAGTTAACCAAACAGTGTTGTTTCGAGATTATTTTAGACGATTAATCGATTTCATATTACCTAGAAGATTTGCGTAATATAAAATCTTTTAAATGTATAATAATTTTTTGTTACTATTCTCTTTAGATATTACAATACCATTGACTTGTCCCAATTGTTGATATATAGTTGTTTCCTCTTGAATATAATAGATCACAAAATCTCTGGCTTGATAAAGTACTAAAGAAATAATGATAAATATTCTTTGAGTTTAATCACAGCGTTAAATATAAACTATAAATATTACCGTTTTCGATTCTGTATGATGTTTCACCAAACATTAGTGACTCTTTTCATATTTGTTCATGCCATAATTCTAACCTTTCTGAAGTCTCGACACTAGAACCAAAGTATAATTTTGGATAAATAGATGGATTATTAAGAATACATTGGAGGTGATCGAGAATAGAAAAGGTATACCCTTCTTTATGAGAATTATAAGTAGACGGGGTATTTATTGGATTAATTTTGACATTATGGCTATTGAGAGTCATCAATGACAGACCACATCGCATTCATTTTAACGTTGTAATACTAAGAGGGAGATCAGATACGCAAAATTCTGGATGTTGCAAGATTTTTGCTAGGTCTTGATATGCATGAAATCCTGTTGATTTATTGAATAAGATAATTGTTAAAAAAATGTGAATATTCTAAAACAGCACGATTTATTGTTACCTATCATGTGTTTTGTATATCAAATGAACATCATCATCACCGTTTTATTAGGAAAATAAGGTCCAGCATTGCTAAGATAAGCAGGTATGTTTTGCGATCCATTGTGTAAATTATTGAATTCAAAAGAAATCTCATCTTCACTACTATCTGTATTATGATTAGATTCCAATAAATAGTTTTCTTGTTCACTCTCATTAACATTATTCTCTTGTTCGTCTTCATTAACATTATCCTCATTTATATATAAATCATCTGTAAAAGGTCATATGTAGCATTTTATATATTATCAGGTGTTACAATATTATTCCTCTCTTGTTGTGAAATCAAATCAAAACTTTTATTATTAATAAAGTTAAGTTGAGATAAAGAAAATTCAACAAAATTACTTCGAGTACATGTATTAATATTTGTATCCAAAGGTTGTTAAATGATTTTTCGAAGGTTAACCTTTTTACTGATTCTTGGATGAATTACTTGTTGTAAATTTGCTACTTGAATTGTTTTACATGTATTTTTAACTATGTTGAAAAAAAAAAAATTAGAAATTTTTTTTTTAAAAAAAAAGCTTTACTAACATCTTTTTTGACATGAATGATGTTATACAATAATCATATTTACTATATTTGATATCACATGTGATGATCAGTATTTCTATAAAAAAAACCTGTTTTGAATTTATAAATACTGTCTTGTGTTACGATTTCCATCATTTAAATATAACAAACTTTCTCTTAAAATTATTTCTTATAAATACGTTTTTTTTTAGGTCTAACAAAAGAATCAAATGATAAAAAAAAGAAAAGCATCAGCACCCAAGGCAGCTAAACCGTGTGCTAATTGAAAAACTATTCAAAAAACCAATACAAAAATTCCTGGTAAGTCTTTGAAATGTTTTGATAAAAGATTTAATTCATTAGAAGTAAAACTTACAGTTTTATTTAATAATGTTCAAGATAATCAAGTATCATCTAAAAATGTTGATATTCAACAGAATGTTTCTCAGGTATAAGAGATCTCTGATAATGATGATGATGATGATGTAATAGTGTCCGAAGTTACCAATATTCAACAAGACGATCAACTTAAATCATTATCGTTACCTACTAAGCCTTTTGCAAAAGAGAACTATAACCCTGATGATGATTTAGAACACAATTCTATTTTATCATTAATTACTAATAAAAAGATTAAAAATGATAATAATGATCTAGAACAAATTCTTAGATCATTACTTTCAAAAGGAAGAATTAGTGATCAAATTGAAGATACTATTGATCAAATCAATCAATTATTGTCAAACATTCAAGATGAACAATGAACCAATTAATCATTAAACATTCAAGATGAATAATGAACCAATTGATCATTAAACATCCAAGATAAACAACAAACCAATTGATCATTAAATATCCAATATTAAAGCTGCCGGCCGAAACTATAAATCCCTGAAACTCCAGAACTCTGAAATTAATTTCGGTGGTTTTGAACATTTTAACCTTAACCCGAAATATGTTTTGGAGTTTCGGGGGTATATTTATTAATAAATTATATAAGTTTCGGGTAAATTAATAATTAGTTTTAACAGTCAAATTTTGATTGGCT